ACAGTACATTACATACTCGCAACGAGTACGGTAGATATTCTAGCCTAATAAAGTATCGTAATGTAATGTACCGGTACCGGTACGAGTAACAGAACTCGTACAAGTAAACGTGTTTAATACTGTATTCTTCATACTGGTAATAGTGATTTTTTTCTTGAAGCGGTGGAAGCAGATTGAGGACGACTACGAATGTCGATCCCAAAGAACTACGGTACGAAGTATGCAACAAGTAACGTACAAKACGTTAGTTCAAAAGAATTAGTCTCGGAGATACTTTGGCGTGTTTGTATCGCTACTGTTTTGGAAGAATACTAAGGAAAGCACACTGTAATACGCGAAGACGGCAATAGCATCAGCAGCGAGAGCAAGTACTAAGAAAAGCGATCTTTCCACACATTGTGTAACACATAACCTACTTTGTGTGCGTGGAAAATATCAGACTACACCCCAGGACACGTTCTTCTCGGAAACATCGGTCTCTCTAGAATCGTGAATTACGAATCAGGGAGTTTTCAACAAAAGCAATCACAGAACAAAGATGTGCATACATGATGTCTATGGGCCGTGTTCGTGTCCACACGGAAGATGTTTTACGGTGATGGCTCAGTGCTTCGCGATGGGGTCCTGGATTTCTTCTGTCGTGGCGATGACGTCTTGTTTTTATATCTTTGTTCGCCCCATACCCGAAGAGGGCATGCCAGAATTGCCTAAGGAAGGTTTTGGATGGATCAGCCGCCAGATCAAGGTCAAAGAACCACCCGCATACGGGAMGCAATGCACTTGGTACACCGCAGATGAACGCGACGAATACTTCGATGCGATGTGGAATGCCGGGATGGCCATGTCTATCCTGAGTGTCGTGATAGGACTGGTTGCGATGTCTCTCGTCATGTGCACTTGCTGCGTTGCCTTCAAGCTTCCGATGTTTGACGGCCTGTTCTGGACCTGCATGATATGTTTTGTCGCCCAGTGCCTCACTTTTTTGAGCTGGGGAAGCGAGATGTGYACCGAAATGGAGTGCACATGGTCGAGTGGAACCGGTTTGAATCTTACGGCACTCATGATGTGGGTCTGGGCTGCCAACATGATCAAGAGTTTTCCGGAAGCACTGCCTCCAAGAAAAAGACGCGATCGTGATCAAGGCGAAGACTACTACGATGACGAGGATGCTGGGGATGTGTATCTGAGCAACCAGAACAGTGGTGAGTACGAAGATGGTGACTACAACGACGATTGGGACAATGCCGATGACAATGGTGATGGATACTACGACGAAGACGGCAACTGGGTGGAAAACTATGCAGATGAYGACGTTGAAGGTGAATACGACAGCTACGATGACTACGATGGTGGATATGACAAGGACAATGGTGGCTACGATTACTACGATAACGAAGATAGCAGTAACTGGGCGGGGACAAGTGATAGTGGAGGATTRAGCGGAGAAAGCCGAGGTGCGAGCGGAGAAAGCGACAGCGATTACACTGACACGCCATCAGCACAAGGCAGACATCTAACGTAGGGGGGAAATGTTCAGAAACCACAGTTGCAATCTTAGATCTAGTCTCACTGTGAAATTGATAGGAAAAACGTGTGGAATACGAGTTCGCACGACAAAATCAAGGTTTGATTCCAAGTTGCGTAATTTGAATCGCAATTTTTAATAGCAACAATACTGTATCAATYGCGAAGTCCAAGTGATAGAAGATGAACGATTAAGTGGCSATCTCGGCAATCGCATGCATCGTCCATCGACCTCAATTGTTGTAGAACGATTCGATACCATATAGAAATGGATACTGCATGGTTAGTCAGAATAAAGTAGTGACTAAATGTGTGGGAAAATGTACTTCTATTGTGCATGCGGTGCAGAAATGATCAAAATTGCCCCTCTTCTGTWTCTGTGACCATACATGTATWTATGGAACCCCCTTAATATAAGGAATCAGTCATGGTCAGTAATTTTACATTATATTTCCATTATGCATGCGGTGCAGAAACGATCGAGATTGCCCCTCTTCTGTTTCTGTGACCTTGCCGGTGTTGATGTAATCCCCTGATATGCATGGAATCAGTCATGGCCAGTAATTCCGACCAATCAGAATTSTTGAGTTGTTCTTTTTCGCGTCTGGCGGCACCATCACTGCCTCGCTTTTCTTGAGTCGAGGATGTTGATACCGAGAAAGTCGATGTCGACGCCGACAATGGCAACAGGCATGGACAAGAATTGGATTGTGAAGGCATACTAGACGACTTTCTAAGACGCATAGGTCGCCTTGGCCGTCTCCTTCTTGGCGATGGGTTGAGCATCGCTACCAACCCTAAAACATCAAAGTTTTTGTTAATCGCGATGGCGGCGTCGTAGATGCAGCAATTTTCCCGTTTTGTTATTTTTATCCGCTTGCTTCGTTTGCTTCTGTTCGTCGGGGGTTGTTCGTAGACACTTTTTGATGCAGTAGTCATGGTTTTTGGATTGGTGTTGATTTTTCTCAACAATGCTGTTATGATTGAATTGTTCCTACCAATGGATTGTGTCTAGATATACCGTTRCGTAAAGAAAAACCCTTCTAAAAAGCTTCCACCATGCATGAACGATAACATCCCACAAGGAACAGAAGTATCGTACAGCTTGATTTGCTAAGCAGGATTCTGCGAATAMWTCCCATTCGTGCTTGCTCGCACCTTCTTGTACGGAAATACCGTATGCACGATTGTCCTTTTAAAGACTACGTAATCGCACCGAATGCAATCGTAGCGTAGTCTGAATCTGAATCGGAGACGAGTTGTACGGTACGCTATGCACGCTAGCGTATCTCGTACTGTACCACAATATGGTAGTATGGTACCTATCGGATGTAGGATCATACAATTAGTTCGTAAATTCAATTCTGTAGTAGATAATTATTTTCAACTTTCATTCGGTTTTGATGACCAGACATCCACGTGGAAGATAAATTTGAGACAAGCAAATAACGGTACAAATTACGGTAGTTGTAACTGTGCGAGTACCGGTACGTACGGTACGTACTAATCATCGGTAGTGGGTTCGAGCCTTAATACCGTGTGTACCAGCTCCTTTACGTACCCTAACACGTAGTCGTACACAGTCCATACGGTACGAACTTAACATGTTCTCCCAGAGATGAAGCTATTGCAAAATCCGTTTCATGGGTCTCTGGTCTCTCGAGTCTGATAAGTGTCGATCGAGCAAGATAATCGTTTAGCTTATACCCCGTTAGGTACGAGTCAGACAACAACAGGAAAAGGAACAGGAACAGTATAGCAGCATAAATATGCATACCGTTTGGGTTAGATTAAATGCCGTCGTCTTTTTCGGACTGACGGTCCTATTGGGATTGAGTTGTCTCGCGGCATTCTCGAAGATTGGACATTCGTATATCCATCAACCAAGTAAGTAAAATAGAATGTATTTGAACACCAAACTGTGCTTTATGATAAATCTCTTTGAATTTTCCGAACGAATAAGAATTGTCTATTTAATTTCCTCCGTTTCGCCTGACTTACTTTGGAAAAATCTTTATTCCAACAAAAACAATACGATCACACGAACAAACCCAATCCAAAACAGTCATCAATACACTCGAGTTGAACACGTTGAGATCCTTGAAATCTCACGGTGGTGTGGATCGTGCCCTGCTCAGTTTCAATATCGACGCCGATATGAATCCGGCGTTCCATTGGAACGTCAAGCAATTGTTTGTATACGTTGTTGCGTCGTACGAAACATCCTCAAAAGAAATCAACGATGTCGTGATTTGGGACAAAATCATTGAAAACATTGATTCCGTGGAAGACAAACACATCAAGCAAGAAAATGTCTTTGTAAAATATGCGTTGGTCGATCAGGGGAATGAATTGCGTGGCAAGGATGTWTCACTCAGGCTCATGTGGGACCACATGCCAATTACCGGGTTCGTATACATGGACAGCCAAGCAAAGGACACCACGACKAGCTTCTCGTTGCCATTGGAATACAAGTAGTGTGTAAAGAAACGGGCAATTTRATTTAGAGGCCACGTACGATCGAACTRGAAACGACCTAAACTTCAATGTTTTGTGTCAACTATATCTCTTAGTTGCAACAATAATAAATTGTGAGCCCGTAGTGGCGAAGGYTGCGTCTTAAAACATGCGCAGCACTAGATCGCTTCTATTCAAGAATCGCAACTTTCGGTATCGAACAAAAWTTTTTGTGCATGATTTAGCATTGACGGCTTCCTCGCGGTTTTGATGTAATCTTTGAAATAATTAAAAGTCAACACAKCCCTAATGCTATTCTATTGGGAGTTATTTTCCCTTTCATAAACCCATCAATCGCTTGTACGACTCGTCACACGCTATATAACTCTCCATCTCGAAAACGTATCGACATGTATCGGGTTCATCGGCGGAAATCAGTTTGTGCTTTGAGCCACATTTCATGTGGACGGTGGCGGATCGATCTGGACCATTCCAACATCTGGCTCCATTTTCCCATTTTAGAATGCGAGTATGTGTATGCCCGGCGCTATCGTCGCTGTCAACGTATTCAATACCCTTGAACTTCCCGAGGTTTGTTTTGGACGAYCCATCTTTTTGTTGCGCCTTGCCAAATATGCATGCACTATACGTGTACTTACCGGCAACGATCTCAAAACACTCATYAGCAATTGAGTGGAGTTCACCATCTCGACCTAGTTCAGTACCATCCTTACCACCAATTGCTTTCCAAATATCGTTGATGGATCGCGTCAAATCTGTTTTCTTGGCCTCCAATTTTTCCTTGGTATCTTCTAAGGACTCCAAACCTTCGGCATCGATCGGTAACGAAATGATTGGTGCAAACATACTGTGGAGCGGGTCATTTTCCTGATTCCTTCTCCTGGGGATAGTATATCCAAAGAGATCGAGTGTTGATTCTGCTATAGTATCAATGCTATCACTGCATTCTGGTGCATCATTGCCATCTCGGCCGAACTTTAATGCTTCTTCGTCACAAAATGTTTTTGCGACGTCAATTAGAAATGATGGAGGATATTCTGTTCCTAACATGGTGCGAACCTGCGTTGGTGGGCAATAATCAACCCAGGGAGAAGCGCAGGTATTCTCTTTGTCGGAAATGGATGATGCGTTGTATTCTGGCAATATGGCTAATAGAATCTGCCACACTTGTATCGAACTGATTTGGCCGTAAAATATTGTTCCTATCGCCAGCCGTTTCAATTTTTCACTAGATTCGCTGAGGGATGAAAAAGCGAACAAAAGCTCGGMCGATGCAGCCCACCGGAATCCCTTCTTGATGATGCTTTGCTTTTCACGGAGTTTGTTGCGAACCATTCCATATGCAGCCGGATCGATAGTTGATGGCGAAGCTGACACTGCCTCGCTTTCGTCTGATTGCGCTTCTGTTCTGTCGCCGCTTTCGGTCCCCTCTTCGACCTCGGCATCAGTCTCATCGTCGTCTTCTGTCGATGGGGTGTCCAGAATCTTGTTTACTTTGTCGATGATTTGTTGGGATTGTTCCAAAAATTTTGCACGCGTTGTGGAAAAYATCGAATCCTGGATTTTTTCTAGAATTTCTCGTTCTTTGCCTACCGCATCCCCAGAAGCTTCCAAAAGACCACTGTCATGGTGCTCATTTCTATTCCGGTGTCTCTCTAGGTCGCGGTCTCGAYGACGATCTTCGAAATCGTCATGATCATCGTGATAGTCGTGATCAAAGGCATCATCGTGAACATCCCATTCATCCTCCATGAAATCGTCTTCCAARACTTCATCCAGGCGCCGCCGTCTTTYGTTTCGCTTCTTCCCAGAATGAACTTCTTTCCAACGAAGCGRCGGTAGAGCCGGTGATCCGCCTTTTGAGTTTGCATCCATTGCATTGTTAAAAACAATGTTCATCATCGATCGGGTCATGTTGACTTTTCCCGCCATGGAGGTTTCGTAGTGTTCGAAATCTTCGTGGTCATTCCAGGACAGACCCATATCCATAGCCGCAATCCGCAAAGCCGCACAAGTATYGTCGTCAGCAGCTGTGTCTCCGTTGGCTTTTGCGATCTCACCCGAAAGCTGGCAAAGGTGAACGATCAAGTCTTCCAGTTCTGAGTCTTCCAATCCAGCCAATAAATCCGTTGCCATTTGRCTCGCAACTACCTTGTCTTTCATGGTAGCCATTCTCGACCTAACGTATGATCGTTTCAATTCTACAATCTCGGTGCCCTCGATCAATTCAATATCATTATTACAGTTTTTCAGTTCCTGTTCGAGCTTGGATACCTCGACGAGTTCCGAGGCCCTGCGTTCCGAAAACTGGACCAGGTCCATTGCCCGCTTCCGCGATCCGATCAAAAATTCGTTGGTAATTTTTGCCAAGACTTCACGTTCAGCTCTCAAGACTTCGTCGCAAACATCTGGGCAAGACGTGTATCCTTCTTCGTCGGTTCCATCGCAGCAATCACAAATTCCGTCGTGCACTCTTGAGGCTGGCAAAACTAGATTCTTCTGCTGGGGACATGAAAAATCATTTGCGCCGGTTTCGGGCAGTCCGCTGCAGTGTTTCAATGAATCCAAGTTACGAATCCATTATAGTTTATGGATTCATTCACAAAAACAGACATGATCAGGAATCATCAACGACAAAAAGCAACGTCATACAATATGTAACGCGTGCAAAAACAGAGAGGGATGCCGAAAGATATCACAGAGAAACAACGACCAATTATTTACGTACGCAGCGACCGAAGCAGCAACACCGGGCCAATTGGACGAACCACTGCAGGCATTCGTATTGGATTCATCTTTTCCGTCGTATGGACAATCGCAGTATCCATCATTTATCCAAGCCTTCGGTATGATCTGCTGGGAATCTCCGGCCCATCCACCCGAGCAAGTTATCGTTTCCACATCGTCCGCCAGAGCCACAACAGCAAAACAAATCACCATAAGTATGACCAAAACTRGGGGGGGCGACCGCGGTGACGGTGTAAGGTAATGGTTTGTCATCCTGCAAAACCAAGTCTTGCCCGATGCGTTATTGGTTCGCTACTGCCAGCTTCGCTTCAAGCAAACCACCCGAGTAATATCCTCCTCCTTTCGCAGGGGTTAAAGTTAAATGTGCCTCGTCCAGAGTACCGTGTTCAACAAATATATGTTTCGACGGATCACGTTTTGAATAGTTCCGTGCCGTTTGAACTATGGTCATTATTTTAATGCAGTCTGAGAATCCATCAAACGTTGTTGCAAAGCGAAATCGGAGGTTAGAGCAAATAAACAGTCTCAAATTACTCGTGCTGGTACGTACGTACTTACTTGTTGTACGGTACCTACTAGTACGTCCTCCCCCTAAATGAGTACTGAGTACTGTAGTTAGTAGTGCAAACACAGTGAGCATAAGAACTACTGCTATTAGAAGTAGTATAATTACTGCTAGCAGTAATGAAGCAAACAAAGATGATTGAATGATTGACTGGCTAACACATGGATAATTGTAGTTACTACTAGTAGTAGTATGGTGCAAACAAGAAACACTACTAGTAGTAGTACTAGTAATAGTAGTACTAGTAAATGAGTGCAAGAAGAACAAGAACAAGAACAAGAACAAGAACAAGAACAAGAACAACAACAAGAACAAGAACAAGAACAAGAACAAGAACAAGAACAACAACAACAACAACAACAACAACAACAACAACAACAACAACAACAACAACAACAACAACAAGAACAAGAACAAGAACAACAACAACAAGGTGGCTCCTGCTGGAAAAGTACTCCTAGTAGTATGGCTGGAAAGAAGAATTTACTAAGACAAGAAGCAGGAAGTGGAGGAGGAAAAGCAAAGAAGAATGAGGACAAGAAATGAAATCATCACCACACACTSTTGTACTACTACTAGCTGTCTGTTTGTTGTTGCTTCTTTCTTCTGAAATACTACTACTAGTAGTGCTCTAGTACTACTACTATGAAGAACAGAATTTGTTGATTYGTTATCCTCTTTGTTATATCCTTGTGGTTTGTTGGGCATAGTCCTTGTCAGTATACTTTTGTAAACAAGAGAATGAATGTTCTTAGTTACAAACAGATCACCAATGGTGGAAGATCTATCTCTTGTTGCTGAAGGAAACACAACAAGAACATAGTAAATCAAATTCCTTGTGGTGTAGTAAGACCAGGTTGAAATTCTTCCTTGTAATTTGTGAACACCAGCAGCTCTTGCATTAGCAATATTAATTGGGAATTGAGTTAGTAAGAGCATTCTCTGATAACTTCTTGTTTCAGTTTGATAGGTGCCTTTTGATTCATATTTTTGAGCTTTACAGCAGTGTTTTGAGAAGTTAAAGTGATCACTTCTTTGGAGTTGGCACCTTCTTTGCTGGGGACCACCTGCTCTATCCATCATTCCACTGTCTCCTAAGCATATCCATATAGAGCATTTTATGTACTACAAAACATGGCTTTATTTGCTTCGGATTTTTCAACACCTACCATTATTTTGTTGAAATTGGTAATTTAAAAAACTTCATATTGCCATCAGAACCAGCATCACTTCCAGCAGGTGAAAGAAGGACACCCCTGGTGGTTGCTTGGCAGAGGGGTGGCACTCCTGGAGGGGAGCACAACCAGGAATAGAGCTAGGAGTTCTGGTTGTTCTTTTAACTTTGTCACCAGAGGTTCTGTTGGGCAACAACCTGGTGTCAGTGTTCCAACATTTTCAATTGCAAAAGGTTGTAAGTTGCCCACATAGTTTTGACTCTGTACTATTAGTAACAGGAGTGAGGGAAGCATAGTAGTGAAAATCATGTTAATTACTTTTATATCTCAACCATGCTTGTTCCAAATGCTGAATGTAAGCAGTAACAGTGACAATAGTAACATTCATAGTAATGTTAAGCAACACCCATATGGTTTTTCTAGATTTTAATTTTTCCACTTATGGTATTTCAATGGTTGTATCATGGTTAGTGCCTGGATTTATCAAGTGTTGATGGGACTGGGACAATGGTATTTAATCTAAAAATGACAAGTTCAACGTTGGAATGACCTATCACAATGACAACTGTAATCTCTGGAGCAAACTTTTTATCTTGTTTGATGTTGGAATAACCAATTATGATTTTGACTCATTTTTAGTCTTGGGAGGTATTTGGTTCTCTTCAATTTTGGAATAATCAATGACAATAATGACTGAATATTTCAGTATTAGCAGGGGATTTGCAGGTTCTCTTTAATTTCAGGATGACTGGTCACCATTATGACTGAGGAATCTTCAAGTCTAGAGAGGAATAGCTTACTATCTTCAATTCTAGAATGACAGATCACAATTATGACTGATTTNTAAACTATTATCCAATCACGAAAGACTAAGGGTTGACCCTGAAACTTCGATGGTGTCAACCGCGTGAAACGCGCAGTACCATAGATCCGGTTTGTGTGACGTAGAGAGGAATAGATTATTTTCAATTCTAGAATGACAGATCACAATTATGACTGATTTTGTTCTTGCTGGGGAAAATTAGATTTTTCTTTAATTTTGGAATGCCTGATTCAGATATGAATGATTGAACATTCAACAAGTTGTGGAGGAAATAAGTTCTGAATGATTGGCCACCATAATGACTGAGAACAATTCCTTTATCTTTAATTTTGGAATGACCAGTTATGARCATTGCTACTTATGTGTCCTTCAAGTAGCCCTTGCTTGCTGCTGGCTTTGCTTCTTGGTGTATTAACACATCCAATTTATCAAATGATTTATTTTTTAGAGATCCAAAACTTTGCCAAAAATCATAAGTGCAGACAACACATAATAGTAGGATGCAAAGATTGTGCATACAACAAGAAGCATGTGCTGCACAAGGATATGGTTCATCAAAACAGTGTAATCATTCAGAGTTGACCCTTCTCAAACTGGAGCAGCACTGTCCTCTCCTAGTGTAAGAAGCATATACATAAACAAAAGTTCAATGTTTGATATAATTGGTCAATATTCTATTACAATAAAATACTACTTCAAAGCCCCAAAATCTTGTCTTATACTACTGCTCCTCCTAGCACTCATTTTGTAGTGGTGGGTACTTGATATAGAATTCTKACCAAACTTGCTCCACTCCCACTTACTACTGATCAAAATGTAAGTCTGAATTACTTTTAGGTTCTATAACCCAAAGCATTTACTACATCTTAATCACACTGGAGTTCCTCCTTGTTGCTCACAATTTTCAAGTAGTAGTATAAACTTTACTAGGCACCATTCTAAAGCCCATGTGTTATTTTTACCAACARAGTGATTTTTTAGGTCTGGGGTCCATTAGATGTATAAACTCATAAACTAGTACTAAGAAACATTAGTAAGGAATAATGAAACAGTTCATATAGATGACCAAATATCTGGTGCATCATCCTTGATTCATGATACTCCCAGTGCTACTAGTAATGACTTTGCACTAAAGTAGAAGAAGAATCATAATGCCCTCTATTAGTTTTGGCAAAGGGCAATCCAGTAACAATAACAAGACACTTTTCTATTCAAAAAATCCAAAATTAGATATCAAGTAATTGAAATGTTCATCTCAAGATAGCCAAATGCAGGAGAAAATCATAAAATAATATCCTACTAGTAGTACTGGTTCTACTAGTAGTACTATGACTAGACACCACCATCCTGTAAATAACAAGGATACAAACTAATTCTTATCATTGTTTGTCCTTGTTCAAAACAAAGATAGAATAAACACGTTCTTTTTGTTGGAACAGCAAGGAGGAGAAACATGAGAACAATTCTACAAGGACAAGAACCCATTGTTTCTCCCCCTTCTTGTTTAGAATTATTCTCTCGGTTTGGGGACTGGTGGTGGGCAAACTCAAAATACATTTTCCAAGACTGAAAGCACATGAATACATTTTCTATTTTAGTAATAGTACTAGTTGTCCTCAACAGAAGTCAATGGTTGAAATATCCACCACACCAGAGGAGTGCTGGTGGTATGATGCATTCAATAGGACCCACCACCAGATGGTCTACCATATGGGTGGTTATTGATGATAATTTTTCAATTCTGGTTACTAAAAATGCTCAAATATTCAAAAAGTTATCATATAGCTTTGGCCAGCTAATGTACGGTCCCAGCCGTAGATTATGGGCTATCTATTTGCACGTGCTCAGTACTTGTACCAGTGGTACTACTGTTACAGCTCAAATTTATTCCCACCAGTTGTGCGACCAAATAATTTTGAATCCCACATTTGTGCAACCAGAATAGTAATTTTGCTAGCACATGCATGCTGCAGGCCTAGTACAAGTCATGTTTTCATCCCACGAGTCATTACACAGTAATTAGATGGCCCAAAATGGATGCACAGTAAAAAAACATGTAGGGCATTGAGTGATATAACTTTGACCCCAACAGATGCTTAAGTATGGTAAACACATGAATCAAACGCCATTTTAAAGAGCTTTCTAACTGTATGGGGGGGTGTAGGGTGGGGGGCGTTTGATAAGTATTGATTGAGTTACATGTATATCTAGCATTGCCAATGTGCAACTGGGATGTCTTTTTTTGCTTGGCCCACACTATACAATACTCTTCTACACATGCTGTGACAATATTAGAATTAGTTGTTGTTGATGCCCACCACAAGAATAGTAGTGCGTAGTACTAGATACCACTACTATACTGATATTATTTTAATTCAATTACTAGTAGTATTACTACTTCCAGYTATCAACTTACAACATATTCCTTAGTACAGGAATTCAATATCTCATAAAACTTACACATTCTTTTGTTTTTATTACAATAATCATGACAAACTCTGTTACTGCTCATACAAGGTTACTGGTGGATTATCACAGTGCTGAACTACCAGTACTGCTCATACTGCTTCCAATATACTAAACCAATATGACGGCCATGTTTTTAAAAATGTGCTGTTGTCTCCAATATTATTGCTACCATGCTACTTAAAGCTCTGGTAGTAGCTTGCCAAATTGAAGTGCACATGGAGCGATACTAACGAAAAACAAATAACCAATCATGTGAACACAAATTACAATTGTTTCGACCAACTTGGTTGTAAATTTTAGAATTGGCAGTGGCATAGTCTACAGAGTGAGTGAGAAGCAATATGGAACATGAAAGTATTGTTACTGAAGATTATTTTTCTGTATGTACCAAAATGGTGATAGGTACATCGATGTCGAGTGAAAACTCTTGGTAAAGTAATTGTTTGATGAAAGTATGAATTTAAATGCTCTTCAGTCCGCACAATCCATAGAGGGCTTCGATGGTTACCAATTGAATGGTTGCCGTAGGAGCGAATCGAGCCCACATAGGGACGAATCCTCTCCAGAAACTTAATGGTCCATCGTTCTTGGCCAATTTGGTGGCGCAATCAATAAATCCATTGTACATTTTTTTGTCTCCCTGGTTCATCAAGGCAGTACGAATGCGATCGAATGGACTAACAGTACAGGTCATGGCAAGGCCACTRACCATGGCACTGCAAAACGTTGTTCGGAGGTCCTTTCGCTCCCATCCSGTCGATTTCGTAACAAATCCCTTCGCAATGTCGTAAACTCCCATTTTGGTAGCATTCAAAACACAGGCTCTCATGATGTTGGCCTGGATACCTCTGTAAAATCCCGCTACTCCATTCTTGGCATGAAAGTCACTGAGGGTTTTCCCCAGACTTTCGGATTTTCCACTGTTGGTTTGTGCCATAGTTTTCAAGACATCAAAAGGGTTGCCGACCAAGGATCCGGCACCACCTGTAATGGCACCAGCGGCAAACTTTAGGTAGAAAGGTGCTATTGGGGATTGGAAAATCACACGAAGAGGCAAGTGGCAAATTTCTCTATAAGCGTGTCGTTGGATGTTACTTCTCGCGGGTAAAACATATCCTACAGTACGGTATGGACTTGGTGAAGAAAAAAGCTATGCAGGTACTTACAATCTTTATTTCCTGCGCCAATTGCGTCACGGACGGGAGCGTATGCTCCCAATTTGATGCTGGCGTAGGAACCCTCTCGTCCCCAGGCCCATTGGATACCCTTCCAGAAGGCGGCGAGTCCTTCCTTAGCATATGTGGATCCTACTGTCGCGCCCAATGCATTTCCTGACACTTGCATTCGAGTTTTCACGAGCTCGATAGGATGGGTGAAGTTGACTGTGAAGACACACGAGGCTCCTCCAAGAGCGATCGATTCGATCAAGGTTGGTYTGCGCAAATCCGTCGACATGTTTACTTTGATGATTTGAGTATTTGAATTATTTTGGATYGTGGGATATTATGCGCGTAATGCGATCGAAGGCGAAGACGTCTGTGGATGCTTGTTGCACAGAAAACGTTCTTTTTTTGAAAAGATGCYGAAAAACACGAAATCYTCCTGAATTTTGTTTGATGGGAGGCTGGCGGGTTGGCGAAGGCAACAGTTGTGACTGAATCTTGAAATTACAAAAATGTTCGTACGGTCAACGCACACAATGTAACACGAATTTTCCATGGATGGAGTTCACTTCCATGAAGAGGACGAGCAGACGTGTGCAGCAGACACGTTTGTAGAAGCAAGATCTTTAAGCCAATTGACGACTACCAAATGGCGCGTGACAAACCGTAACCCTATTTGTGGTGACCCATCAAATTGTTTTTCTCGCTCAAGAAAAACTTCCGCACCGGTACCAGTACGAGTACATAAGGGTACTTGTACGGGTACGGGTACAGATACAGGGGTCATAAATTTAGAGGGGTGCGCATCGATTTTCCATGCGCTAAGATTTTGCAACGAAAAATCAAAAATCATATTCCATCCTCGGTCCCAAAATTAAAAAATCAGCTTAAGGAATATTTATAATTCTAATTTTTACTGCATAATACTAGTAAAACTATCCAACTTTTAAGTAGTCATAACTTTATCAAAAATAGTAATAATATAATTTTTGAAGACGCTGTCTACACCAGTTTTTAATGAGGATTCTGAATATACCATTTTGTCAAGTATCAAATGGATCTTTAGTGTACCTTTTTAATTGTATTGGAGTACTAGTAGTAGTACTAATGCCACCAGCAGTAGTAGTAGTACTGGTGGTGCTGGTAATGGGAATACTTGTGGATGTGATTGGTTCAAGAAAGAGATCCAATAGAAGTGATGGAGATGATAGCAGCAGCAGGAATGCAACAAGGAAGGAGGAAGTGTAGGAGGAAGAGGAACAAAGAGCACCAGAAGCGCAGCCCAATAGAACCACTACTAGTAAAGAAATAAATGGCATAAATACAGAAGTRAATCACACTTGACCAAACAACATTATTCATTTTTTGTAGGGACTTCATATCTTTTACCACTAGTAGTAGTACTACTAGTAGTAGTAGTATTGGTACTCCTAAACATTACTAGAATAAATAGGAGTACCACTACTACTACTACTATTACTGGTCCTAGTCCTACAACATCCAGGTTCTCCTAGTAGCACTACTAGTATTACCAGTATTCCCATTACCAGCACCACCAGTACTACTACTACTGCTAGTGGCATTAGTACTAGTACTCCAATACAATTAAAAAGGTACACTAAAGATCCATTTGATACTTGACAAAATGGTATATTCAGAATCCTCATTAAAAACTGGTGTAGACAGTGTCTTCAAAAATTATATTATTACTATTTTTGATAAAGTTATGACTACTTAAAAGTTGGATAGTTTTACTAKTATTRTGCAGTAAAAATTAGAATTATAAAAATTCCTTAAGCTGATTTTTTAATTTTGGGACCGAGGATGGAATATGATTTTTCGAATCGATGCGCACCCCTCTAAATGTATGACCCCTGTACAGATACAGGTACTAAATACGCACCGTACCGTGGTTGCTTCACGTAAACATTTACAGTATTCGCAAAATGTAACTAAAATTGCATTCTGATAATTGCCTCAACAATACTGAATATGCCCTACCCCCTGAATAGCTTCACACTGTAAGCAATATCATAATACCCCTGTTTTTGCAACAGTAGATTATTCAATGTGCAAAAATGATATGGCAGAAACTGCTGTATGTGGGTCTTTTCTTGTTATGGTCAGATTCTTTTTCCTTCTTAGCCTTTGTTTGGTTGCATTCTCAGCCATTGCTGGTTCCCTCTAAAATGTATGTAGCTAGTATGCACCGCCAGTGCAATACTAATACACCCTCAGAGGTGCAAAAAAGAGTTTGATATAGAGGAAACTGTGTCACATTCTTTCTACCAGCAGCTTATGAAGAGCAGCATTCTTATCTAGAGCACTACCAGCTCTAAAAGCAGCAACAATGACAGCAGTACTAGTAGTAACAGCAAGAAACAGAAGCAACATGACACCACCATCACCACCACCAAGCAGAGGATGCACCAGAGGACATAAAGGACATGGAGGACAACAAGCAAGCAGCAGCAATGACYGGCCCCTTCCCCCCTAAACTTGTTTACTACTACTAGAATTGCACTTGAAGTGGTATGGGAAGGGGAGGAGGCTCAGCAGCAAGAACAAGCTGCAGCAACTGGAGGACACAGATCCAGCAGAGGTGGATCTGGCAGAGGACACGGTCTAGTGGTTGTGGAGCCAGTGGTTGCATTACAACCACAGGAGGACATGGTTGTCATGTTACCACCAAAGGAGGACGTGGTGGC